TGATGATGATGATGATGATGATGATGATGATGATGATGATGATGATGATGATGTTAAGAAGAAGAAGAAGAGAAGACGAAAAACTAAAACTTTCTAAAGCGCTCCATCTCGTGAAAACACAAGCTCTGGGTAGAGCGCTGTCATGTCATATATGTCTTTCTCAACTTGATGCACAAAACATTTACAAAGTATTCTTTGACCAGTATGAGAAAACAAATACCCCAAAAAAGCCTATGCACTCACTGCACTATAACTTACGTTCTCCCAGAGATCCCGCCAGCACTTCCGGGCCAGACAGACGGCGCCGACACAGAAGGTCAAGGTCACCAGATTGCGAGAGTCTGTCACAGACTCCAAGAGCGGGATACTCCCGCCCTGCCAATCATAGCTGAGATGGGCGGGGCATAGCAGCAGCCAGAGGTTGAAGGGCAGCAGGTAGGTCAAGGTCAAAGCTCTGTTTTGAAAATAAAGAAAAAAAGAAAGAATTTTTTTTAAAGAAGAAGAAGGAATGGTGGAAGTTTTATACCACCATTGACACTATTATCTAGAGATTATCTCTTGGAGAAAATCTGCTTCGACCCTGTATGTCGGAGTCAATCCAGTCTTAAAGGAATACAACGTTCTAGTAGAAAAAGAAACCAGAGAGTTTAGGTAATACTGTAAAACTCTCTAATGAAACCCCCCAAAAAACACCCCAAAAAATTACGCTCACGGGGATAGAACCCGGGTCTCCTGCGTACAACGGCCGAGGGTCTTATCATTACATCACAGGTAAGCAGAATGTGTAGGTGACAGATTGCATTTCTGATGCAGTACGGTTTACTCGAATACATTATTAACTTGCGATAAACAGTGTGACGTAATTGGTTGCTGTTAAGGACAAGTGGGCTAGCCCAGATTTAGGGGGTTTTCAGAAATCTTGACCTACACCAAAAGTGAGCATTGCCCTACCTACAGGAGAAGTTTGGTTTCATTGTTGTGTATTTATTTGTTTGGTTATAAAGGAAACTCTTCTTGTTTTTTAAAGAAATTGAACAAAGCGTAAAAACTTTATCTTCCATTTTCTCAAAACAGCATTTTTCGGGATAGCCCTCTTGAGCTTAAAAAGCGACCAATTTACGCGCACTAATTATTTCCTTCGTTTTTTGTCATTCCGGGGCTGTGGCTGTTGTTGTAACCTTTCTGCGCACTTTTACAACAAAATAACGGCATACTATAGGCTGTTGATATGTTGTTGTTGTTGCTTTTTTTGGGATATAAAATAATAATATACAAATGAGTGTTTTATAAGATGTGATGTGGGCCAATGGCCTTTAACACTGAATAAACTTACTTTCTTACTTATTAAAAAATTATAATTCATTTTAAAGATCTAGAGCCACGGGCGTGCTAACCTGGTCACGAATGATGGAGAAAACGACGCAGGGTTATCTTCCTCCAGGAAATTTGGAGACTCAAAATTGTTCATCCATAACCTGAAGAGGACAAGGGCTCCAGCCTGAAAAAAAGACGCGAAAATTGTGAAATGGTATAGGTTCAACGCCCCTTTCAATACTATTAGGTTATTTAAGAGGCGGGACTTCCGAGTTTAACGCCCGTCTTCGAAAGGACCGAGCCGAATAGGAATTTTAGGTAAAGTGCTTTTCGCAAGGAAAAAAGAGGGAAAAGACAGAAAACATGAGGGGGGGAAGAGCAGAATAGAGCAGGACAGGGGCGGTCTTCGTCATCAGCTTTGTGGTTCTGTGCAGCAATGATGGGTCGATAGAAGTAAAACGAAATTGACCAATTGTTTGCCTCAATAGATTAATATCTCGATACTGCATCGTTTTTGGACGAAGAAGGCGTGACCTCTTTAAATTGCGTTGTAAGGCTAAAACAACAAGGGGTTTTGATTTTCAGTTCCATTCGTCAAATGGTAGGCTATAAATGAATGAAGCACTGTGTCTATGATACTCCGGGGTGTTGATAAGACGTTTTCACGAGCTGAGAAGAGTCATAGTGGCAACGTTTATCTATCGTCACGGCGAAGGGTACACTTGACACCTCTATAAGATCTTTTTTGGGGGCAAGTCAATTTCTTTCCATAAACTATCCCTCCCACTCCTTTTCCCAGACACCCCGCTCCACATATAGACCTTTCTACAGATACAGTGCCCTTGGTTAGAGCGACACTTCTAAAATATCATCTTTGGAAAGACTCAGAGGGCACATACCATACGCACCTTTTGATTGTGTCCAAAAACAACTCTGTAGGCGCGCTTTTAGGAAAATAACTCATTGTAGAACATGAAACCGTGCCAATAGATAATGTCGTAAGACAGTTCAAAGTAAAATAATAGAGAGTAAAACATCGATACAAGTGATGATGTTATTGAAACAACTCACAATAACACAGAGACCAACATTATGGTGTCAATAGATAACGTTATTTTAACAACTCACAGTAAGACAGAGAGAAAAACACCGAGTCAGGCATGGGAACAGGTTGGCTGACAGAGTTCCTTTTTTGAAGGCCCTGAAAAAAAAGGATACCGAAATATTATTATTCAAAGTATGCTCTGAATTTCAGGGAACAATTGTGTTTTGAAAGATCAAAAATTCTGTTTGACTAATCGACACAAAATACTCTATTCCTCGTGAGGTAATAATACTCAAATTCATTCTTCGGTCTAAATAAGTCTGATATTGCGACTGCAGATGCTATTATACGCCTCCATCGACTCTATTTTAATCATTTAAGAAGCGGGCTGCTCCTCACATGGGAATCGAACTCATGTCCTTTAAGTGCAACGACGAAGGGCCTAACTGCTACACCACAGAGACCAGACATAGATTTGAGACACTTTGTTTTTTTCAGTTGGTATTGTGCTGGTTGGCAGTCGAAAGCTGACACTCTCCCCGTTCTTCTTTGGCTAAAATAGCCCCTAAGACATGGATAGCTGGTGCCTCTATAAAAAAGATTAATACATGTAGTTTCTGTATTCCCTATATTATTATAAATGGTTGTGCACTACAATTCTTGTGCTCTACACTACAACCGAATCTAAGGGGACAAAAAACAAACAACAAAAACCACAACAAAACATTTTTGTTCCATTTTGGGGCTCTTTTTGTTCTTGGGTTTTTTGTTTTGTTTTATTCTCTCTCTCTCTTTCTCTCTCTCTCTCTCTCTCTCTCTCTCTCTCTCTCTCTCTCTCTCTCTCTCTCTCTCTCTATCTATCTATCTTACGGGACCGGGATTCAAACCCACACTCAGAAAGTAATTGTATCAGTTCAACACACACACACGCTGACCATTTGGCTATCAGAACATCCAACG